GTCTGAGAGCTGTCAGCTTGTTTGAAATACAAAGGAGTATAGATAGATCACATGATATAAACCATTGTCCAAAATAACAGATGCAACAGATGCTTAGTCATTCGAATGAAATTACGGGAAACATTTGATGTGGTTAAATCATTTTGTAGGGATATACTACAACTACGACAGCAGCACCAGTAAATACCACAACAGTATCATGGCGGATCAGATGGCTGGTCAATGGTATCTGAAGGCATGTGACCTGGGACAATCACCCAGCGACAGGGTAATGAAAATTAGCTGGTTTTCATTTATTTGCTTTGTATTTCGAAAAGTTTAGGATCTTTGAGTCAGCGTTACATTGTTATAAGTGGCGGATAAGAAGGATAATAATGTACATGAAAACATTACGCACTTCTGATTGGCTGAAAACGAGTGCATTCTCACGTAACACGAGTGCCGATTGTCTTGACTTTCTCTGACGGTTTTTCGTGTACATTATTAAGAAGTAATAAACTGATTTCTCTGGCAATTTGGTGAAATAAGCACCCATAAATTTTTCAAAGACTTCAAATTGCACTTGCCCTACGGGCTTGTGCAATTTTTTGTTTATGAAAAATTTACTCGTGCTTCTTAACACCAAAGTGCACTCGAAATCATGTCATAACCTATACCTGTCACTGCCTCGCGTCAAATGTTAAACCACTGACTCTGCGTTTGAACTGGGCTTTGAGCCCAAAGTAAAACAAGGGATGCAACTATTATAAAGGTGGTACCTGAAACAGAGGCAATAGGAACCAATGTGATTTCTCATCTGTTAAGCTTTATGTACTCTTACTCTATATTCTCTCTATAATCTTCTCTCTGGATTAGTTACTTTGTTGATAAGAACCTGGTATAAAATTGAAATATCTAATGTGACCAAGACGGCAAAGTATATTCTATTAATGGTACCCTGTGGTTACAGTTGACTCAAACATTTGAGGAGGCACTAAACACTGTTAGCCAGTGAATGACAACATGGAACTTCTGTAATAGGAGACAAGAGAGAAAGAAATAGTAATTTGTGATGATATGACGAGAACGCACGACCGTGGCCAGGGGCGGGGTAACCTATCACGGAGGAAAATTTTAAAAGCAACTAAATATCCTACATGGTCAGGAATGCTTGATCATTTATTTATGAGGTTGAAAGTAGATAGCTAGAAATATTTTAGAATATTAGTTCTCTGTTATCTAATTCTCACCATTGTTCATAGGTTTTTCCACAAGCAAATGTACTCAGTGCTCTGACAACCGTATACAAGAACAATGTGCTTAAATTCCAAGATGGAAGGATGGGTGCTGTGAATGGCATGAGACCTAATGGCCAGGTTTGTCAATTTCGACATAGTCAGAAGGGATTCTTTATTTAGGTTTAGAAAAACTTGTTTTACTTCTGTACAACAAACAGTAGGCTTTGAATTCACCATCTTCATTGACATTATGAGCATCACATGTCGACATTCCTATCGATCCTCGCCGCGTGCAGGAAGTATTTCACCATGGACCTAGTTATAAAGCTTAGCCTGGCACGAGTCTCCCATAGCTCAAAGGTAGAGCATCCCAAGTACTAATCGGAAGGTCGACGGTTCGACACCTATTAGGAATACTCAGATTTCTTTTTCTCCAAGTAGGCCTGTGTTATTCACTAGATAACATATCATTTTTCAAAACAGTGGTGTCTACAAGTCTGACTTTACATGTCGATTGCGACGAATATGATCGCCTCCAAAAACAATTTTGAAACTACACGTGATGAAATTGTGTTGTGACACTGATGTCCTTGTCTGTGGCGTATAAAATAGTCTTGTTGCATTCTATTTTAAAAAGGCGGAAATTAAGTCGTGCTTTGGAGAACACTCTGTGACTTATGTCCCCAGTGCGTTAAGGCTGGTTGAGGCTGGACATGGCTGTGTGGAAAGTGACGCTGAAGATAACTGAAAATGTAGAAAGCTGTCACTCTTGAAGGTGATTTGACTAATCCATTGTAAATTCATAGGTAGATACAAGCAGTTTACAGGCCGAGGAGGTCTGGACCGGGATCACTTACGCTGTTGCAGCTGCTATGATTCAGGAGGTGCTGTGTATAGTATCACTTTTCTGAAATATCATGCGTCAATTTACGTAAGGAAAGTTTATCAGAAAAGAAGCTCAAAATCTCTCTTTCTCTAGGGTCTGGTGGACGAGGGCTTCAAAACAGCTAGTGGTATATACAACACTTGTTTTGAGAGACTTGGAATGGGTTTCCAGACTCCAGAGGCTATTATTGCTAATGGCAACTTTCGCTCGTTGGCGTACATGAGACCGCTGAGTATTTGGGCCATGCAGTGGGCTCTTAAAAAAAGGGACATGCCTGCCGCTCAAGAGAATACCGCTGGCCCTAGCAATGATTTCACTCAATGTAACGGTTTTCGTAACGCCTCCAGTGAAAATTGACGCAACGGATCCTGTCCCAGACATACGGAAGCAGTGCAAGTGAAGTAATTGCATAGAAACTCACCATTCGTTATTTATGTTGGAAGGTTTAATCGACATCTGACTATGGTATATCTCGAATTCATACGCACACAGTCACCCCTTAGAATTAATCCCGACCTTGTTCCCAGGTTGTTTTCTCTTCTTTCCTAAAGAGAGGAGAACAAACGATCTTGGAAAGGAGGTTGAATTTCCATTCGTTCTACTCTGCTGACCATTCTGATTGTTAAAATGTATTCAGTTTTACCTCACAGCAGTTCATGCCTCTTTCTCTGGCCGAGTGGTTAAAGAAAATGGCAACCCTTAAGCCTGTCCGAGACTTAAGTTTGATTAAGGTCTTGAAATGTTGCTTATAGCAGTTTTTATTCGTACGTAACACCTATTGGGCAAAATACAACAAAATGAACTAAACAATCAGAAGCACTTTGATTTAGTGTCATTTTAAAATAAGGTAAAAGTCGTCACTAAAGCCAAATGAGACAGCTCGGTCGCCTATGGTTTTTAGTTTTGGATTTGATAAAACCAAGCTAATGCAATCCTGGATTAGCTTCGACACCAATTTGAAACTTGTCTCTTCAAAGTAGTAAGTGCGGGTGGGGGGGGGGGTTGCTATACAGAAAATGTTTCTACTTATTTCAGTTCGCTTATTTAAGCATATGAATTTTCGGGAAATTTGTTTTGACACATCAATATAATTCACCTGGTAGTGTCTCTACTGAAACTGAAGTGAAAATATTTTTAGATTTTACACTGGGTTAGAGCTAACAATGGTACAAGAGTGTATTTAAAGCAGCCTGTTTCAAGCTACATATAATGCTACATACTAACATATTTATACAATGTGTAACATCCATTTCGTTTCTCTTCTGTAAAATCGCTTTAAAGTGTGATGAACATGCAGGACGTGTACTGCACTAATGATCATGAAGAACTTTGGTTGAAGGTGTTTGTTGTGGAAGATGTATTTTTTAAGAATAGTGGGTGATCTTTCTTCAAAACGTAACTTATTTGCGACTCATACGGCCTGTAATATTCTTATTTAAGTGGAATTCTTGACGTATTATAATTATTACTCAATATATTTGTACATTTTTTAATTTATTGTCGGGTTTTTCCGCTTATGTATATATTGATGAGGGGACCGGAGATGTACTTTTTGCCAGGGAGAAAGAGGGTTTTTAAGAGCACCTGTCATCAGACTTGTAACAATGGGAAAACATCATTTAAACCTAGCAAATTAATTCGGAAATTATAATCCTTCATAAAACTGTAAATACCTAATTAAAAGATGTCTAATGTATCATACAAAGGGAATTGTTAGAGGATAATCCCGAAATAAATTGGTTACATTGTGGGCAATGTGACCGTGTGGTCTTATTTTTTGGGTGAAGAAAGTGAGCTCAGGTTTTAACTCAGATGAAAATCGAAGACCCAACGCCCCGTTTTGGTCGGTGGGTGAACTGGAGGACTCCAGTGGTCTTTTCGTCATGCCTGAGTTGTGAAACTCACGAGTGAGGTTAAAAGCCGTCGAATATTATTTTCAGATTTTAGTGGTCTCGCCGAATCATTTCCCGTTTGACCTCAACATGACCAGTGAAACAAGTTGTTTCATCAAAGGGTGCACCCACTTCACCGCGCATGGCCACTGAGTCTTTGAAGTACACCTCCGTTGGGTAAGAGGACAACAGCACGTAATTAAGAAGCCAGGAATTCGGTCGAAACTTAGATTCTGCAATTTACGAGTCGTAAACACGGGTGGACTTTGCTCGGCATCGTTTATAAGACAAGTCAAAAGCATTAACACCTGCTTCGAGTCAAAAGCGGACAGCAAGAAATCGGAGCTTGTTAAGCAAATATTTTCTTCCAAAATTTGTAACTTCTTGGTGGTCGCTTTCTCCTTAGTGATCAAGGATGCTCGTGATTTGGTTTATAATAATAGAAGTAAAAAATGACCTGCTTCTTATTGGCTGAAAACGAGTGCAAATTACAGTTGGCGCGCGTGATGTCAAAATTTCTTCGGTCTTGACTTTCCGTGATGCTTTCACGTAAAGTAATTCGGCCGGCATATCTTCTGCAAAAGCTGAAAGGTCCTGTACACTTAGGGAAATATCAGCAGCTTCGGAAGCGAAGCAATTTTCATATTCCTTAAGCTTATCATTTGTGTCGCTTCGGTTTTATGAACCCTTTTGGTCGTCATCCCATCGCGTTGACGCAGCAAATGAAGCCCTTTCTGTTGCTTTTACGGCGGAATAGGGAATGATAGTTTAATTCAGGGACATTCGTTACAGAAGGTGACATTTGGGGAGCTGGTGGATTTTTTTGTTGTTTAAAAATTCTATTTCCCAGCCATGTTTAACGAGCGGCCGCAGTCGGCACAATGTTTCACCGGAAACCGCTGACGAAAAATGGGCATTTCAGCGTAAAAGAGTTCTGTAGAAATGCCACCCCCCCCCCCCCCCATGATAAATAACACGTATAAGGCCCCATGTAAAATGGTAAGAGTACAGGACAATATATTGTTTCATTTACTTTACAAGAGTGCACCTATCTACATGACAAATTCTGACAAACATCAGAATTCGCCAGCATAAGAAGTCTTACAGGAGATACATCACGATAGTTTGAACTATTTTTACAAAGTTCAACAAAAAGAAACAAAATTCGAGGTTGGACAGGATGAAATACTGCAAAGTGTTAAATACAAAGCCGTAAAAAAAAAGAGAGAGTTGCCAACAATGGAGAAAAGTAAAAACAAATGTAAACAGAAAAAACCCTGAAAAGTTGAACCACATATTTCACGATGCCCCAGTCGTGACATAGCTCCTTAAAACTTCGTTGGATGGAAAATAAATAACAATTATATCAGTTATAAATTACATCATTCGTCAAACGGCTTTTATCACACCGTAGTCAAATTCTCCACCAGAGGAGGACAATCCCATATCAGCACCCTGCTTCAGGGCTAACACAGATTTGTATCCAGCAGACAAGGCCGACATATGATGGAAGAAAGCTTCTTTTTCCACTTGAACACTAAATTTATTGATACCGTATTCTTTGAAAAGCGCGCTGACCTGGAGAAAGAGAGAAAAGGTTGCCATTCGTTAAACTCAAAGAAAGCATGCCAATAGATATAGCGATCAACCAACCCTCTCTGTCGAAACGCATCGTTGCTCAGTAAACAAAAATGTAATTTAACAAAATAATAAATGGAAGAAGTCACACCTACCTAGCAGAACCACAAGAGGTAAAACAACGATTTTCAAAACTCAGGAGGGAAAAATATTTGTCTTCTTTCTAGCGAGGCAGAAAATCTAAAGACGAGTTGGACCGTGAAACAAACCCGATGAGTAGGGGGATGGAGGGCTCATAAATTAGCAAGCCCACCGAGCGCCATATGTACATGGTGCCCCCCCATGACCGTAACCCGAAAAACTATTTTTGAGTTTGCTTGATGTTAGTTATACTTCGGGTTTTGCTTCTTTCTGTAACTTTCACTTGCCTTTATTGCGTTTATTTCTACTAGTCACAAACCTGCTGAATAATCCTCTGTTCGTTTGCTGACGGAGCTACTTGTACATGAATGACGCCAACTATGGAATCAGATGAGTGTCTCCAGAAATGAGGATCACGGTACGACAAAACACCGTCCAGTGATAAAATCTGCCGACATAAAACAATAGAGGCCCGTTTTCATTTTTTGTTTTTTTTGTCTTTTATTGTTCAGAACATTGCGTAGGACTTCAAACGAAGAAATCAAATGTCTTTTGAGTATTTAAAGAACTGTTTGTTTAGTTTTTTTACCAAATTTCCTTGAAGGGAAGGACTAAGAAGACGTGGGATGAAGGAAGCTTGGCAACTAACATCTCAGTGATACGTTTTCTAGTCAAGTAAACTTACGTCAGTACCCTATCCATCTAAGAGGAGAGCGAAGGCACCGTGGCCTCAAACTATGTTATATCCAAGAACAATAACCTCTAACCCCAACCCAAACTTGAACCTAGAGTCTTTGAAAGACAAACCTTCACAAAACGCCTCAGCCCTTAGCAGATAAAGAATGGTGTAATCTTCATGTTAGGCCTACCTTATTAAAAGCACTGCCTAGAGTTTTGTCCAAGTCTCCTGGTGTTCTTAATAATAACACTTGTGAGGACTCCTGTAGGAGAGGAAGGACACTGAGGAAAATCAAAACTGCGATGAATAACGAACAAAGAGGATCAGCAATAAAGAATCCAAATTGTTCAATGAGCACAGAGGACACTATGACTCCTACACTTCCCATGGTATCAGCGACAACGTGAAGAAATACACCTGCAAAAGACAAAAGTCTTAATTATTTAAAAATAGTACCATACAAAGCCAGGTTTTAACCCGGAATGTTAGCATGACGACCGTTGCATTTTGAGCTAATAAGCATCAACAGAATTTCTTGGTGTATTAGCTGATGGCCTGGTGCCGCCTTAGTACTGTAGTTGCCATTGTGTGTGTTTTCTTTCTTTGTATAGAGTATGATTACGGGTAAATTGTAACATCAAAAAGAGCATTGTAATGCCAATTTCAATCCAATTCAAGTGGTGGATTAAGAAAGACGACTCAAGGAAAATTTCAGTACCTTATTAATATTTTGTGAATCTAAAAATGCAACAAATATGGCATTTTTCGTAAAATGATATATGTAGTATTGAATCTTACCTACCTTGCATGTTTACACTACGATCATGATGTTCATCATGGGCGTGCCCGTGTCCATGACTGTGACCATGGTGTCCATGACTGTGCCCATGGCTACCATGGCCACCATGGCCATGGTGACTGTGACCGTGTGAACTGCTACCATGTGAGTGCGCATGTCTGAACGCAAATATACCAACCAAATTTACCACAAGTCCTCCAACAGAAACAACCTAAAGAAGAGATTTTATATCTTTTAATTACTATTCATAATGTCCATCAACAGGCGAGTAAATTTGGGCCCGATTGTTCGAAGGTTGGATAACGCTATTCTACAAATCAATCACTTTCCAGCGTCACCGTAAATAGAAAAACCAACACAATTCTAACAAACAGTAAAAAGCATTTTCGTAGTTCTCTACGTTAGGGTCTGTCTTGTAAAGATGAGAATCTCCATTAACACGCACGAAAAAACCTCGTGGCATCTGTCCATTTTTTTTATTTAATGGAACAGAAAACTATTTTCCAGTTCACACTTTATGGAAAGTCGTTATTTTAAGAGTGGAACCTTCCAAAGACTTCCACAAGTGTAGGTTGCTCAGAAATGAAACTTTTCATCCGATTCATTCAAATACTCTGAACTACCCACAAAGCTCAAAACAACGCAACAATGGCACTCCACTTGAACACAAACAGTACTCACTAATAATCTTTCAGTGCTGACTGTTGGAGGATCAAACAGACGCTGAATTGCAGCGATGAAAACAAAGAAGGAGATTACCACCAAGAAAATACCGTTGACAAAGCCTGATAAAATCTCTACACGGCCATAACTGCAAAGACAAGGCTTGTATTAGAATAAAGTAACTATCCTAATTAAACATAATCACGTATTTCTCGCGGAATATACTTAAATAAGATTAAGTGGCATCTAAAAAATACGACTATACGAGAAAACAAAGTTGACTGACAAATTATTCCTTTATACCCTAACATCAGTATGCCTATTATTGAAACCTTTCTCGATACATTTACTGTACTCCTGACATCAGTAAACATTCTCCATGCTGTTCTCTATACATCACCTGAGGCACCGACAAGGAGAATTTGTTTAACAATCAAGAGGTTCTTTAGTGAGTGATCATTCCCTTTATTCTCATGACCTTAATGTGTGATTCAAGGGTGATATTGTAAGGAGAAATCAGATGCTAGTCACACTTAGGTCAAAGCTGAGGGTTAAAATAACCGCTTTAGAAAGACAGAACAGGCAAGTACACCATGTGTCTTGCACTGTCACACGGATAGTGCAGACCTAAACCTGCAAAATATGCAGCTAGGATCAAAATAAAAGCTTAAAAACCATAACAATAATGTATCTTGTACATACCCATAGGAAAATGTCCTAGAAGCTTTCCACCTAGCCATGAGAGCTGCACAAAGTCCAATAACAAGAGCAGTGCAGTCAAACAGCATATGGAAACCATCTGATATCAGACCAAGGCTGTTGGTCCAGGCACCATACAACAGCTCTATTCCTGTGAACAGCTGCAATCATGATAAACAGAAAATCACATGAGGGTGAAGAGTTACCCAAGGAAACAAGAAACAAAAGAAGATCACCCTAAAAAAGAGATGAGGCTGCGCAGCTCAACTAAACCAACAGTCAAATGAATGAAATGAAACTTTAGAGACATTTGATGTAACAACCACAATAAAATAAATAAATAAATAAATAGACAAAAAAAATCATAATAAGATCAACCTGTTAAATTAAGGTACGATAATCATGAGGCAAACCCTGAATTTAAAACATATTATTAATACTATGTTGTGGTGCATCTGTTTGGTGATAGATCACAGATCACGTCCAAATGTGGTAAAAACAAAGTGGCACACAAGGTGCAGCCAAGAGTGTCACTCATGTTGACAAATTCAACATCTTCTGTGATTTTTTTGCTGACATAGAGCATAGACACTATTTGTTTTATTTCATAAAAGCGTCAATATTGTCTGTGCATTTGTCTGCCACTAGATCAAAAGAACAAAAATACATGTTAAATTCAGCTTATCCTATAATTTCAGTCTGTTTTACAGAATTTGTTTCTGCATGATTCTTTCAGCACACCACACAGATTTTACCAAGTATTATAGACAGAATTCATTGCATACCAGATTGAGACAAAGGAAGTAAAATATCTGCCTAGATTCTGACTGCTCCACAATTTGTCTCAAAAGACTTTGCACTGTCGTCAGTACTGACTGTGGTGTTTGGAAGTTATAGATTGGCAGGCCACCAGTTGTGTAACCAATCAGATTTCCTTTGGTCATACGAGGAGATGGCCTTGACAATAACCTTGTGGCTAGGAAAATATGCAACAGTTAGCTCCAAACTTAACAGTATTTTGAAATAATGGTATCGTTCATGTTTACCACATGGTCTTATGCAAAACTTTGACAATTCATATTATAAAAAGGGACTAATGATACATGGAGAACTAGGGGAGAAAAACTGTTATGAGACAATTAGGCTGGTTTGGTTTTGCCATTAATTTCCGATTCTTCAATTCAACTACAGTTGAACTTGTATTAAGCAGTCAACTAAGTGGAGTGGCAGGGTGACCTCTTGATAAAGATTCCACAGAATAAGGCGTTACAAAAACAATGGAAAATACCATTTCATTCTGTAATTTACCAATTAATGGACAAAAAATTGTTTAAAAATACTACTACCACTGATTTCAGGAGATAAACATGGATTAACTTTTACTTGAAAGATTATTCTTAGTTTTACTTGAATGGTTCTGCTTAAAGTGACCATTCAAAACAGGTGGAGAACAATACAAATAGGCAGTTGGGACTCAGTCAAGGCTGACCACCACCACTTAATGGAGGTGACTGCTCCATAGCGGAGAAAATTACAATAACGACGGGGACAAAATTTTGGGGCTTTGAATTCCACTGCTGGTGACCACTTAATACAGAGTAACCACATGATACTATGCCACTTAATAAGCATAGCCGTTTATGGATGAGTAATGTGACAATCTGAGATGGTAACAGTCTGTTATCATGTGGATATGGATATGCAGCAAGAGCTTTTGAGAACAAAATTTTTTTAATGAAATTGGGCCAACATGCTTGAATCATTATCCCCCTCTCTCATCCATATCATAATCTATTAATCACTGGAACATACCAAAAAAAACAAACTGAAAACATTTAAGGAAATAACAAAAACATCAGGGCAAATTCATATTACAGTCTAACAATTTGCATCATGTACTGCCCCAGTGTAACTAATAAACAAAAAGTTCAAACTCTAATCACTGTTTGAGAAACATTTATTTAAAAGATGACACAAAAACACCAAACTTACCCAGCACAAAGAAAAAAGCAGCAAAAAGTGTTCCAGCTGATACTAGATGTGGTTCAGATTGTTTGCCGTGGTGCCATTCATGCATGCTCCACACCCATGGCTTATCCCACAACAATGCTATGATCACAGCTGATAAGAATGAAGCTATGGAGCCTATCTTTCCTGTCCTAAGTGACTCCAGTTTTGCCACACAGAAAGACTCAATGTAGAAGTCAAAAATGAATACAACAAAAATGACCACAGCCAGAGGAATTATTGCTTCAAGCCAGTCAACATCTGTTGTCTGTTTAGCCATAAGAGAAAAAAAAACATACATTTATTATTCAACCTGCAACACTTTCTATATTCAAAAACTACTCTGCTATTGATGGGAGTCTGCAGTAGTCCCATCATGTAGTGCTTTTGGTAGTGTGTACTGTGCCCAGAAAATAACTGGATAGAGATAATAATTAGGTAATGGGCAAGTAAAGACATCTACCAATGAGTTGAGTTTGGCCTTTCTTTCAGATTAACCTTCATGACCTTCAAAATTGTCATCTTTACTGTCATGATAAATCAACCTTCACCACTGAATCTTTGTAGGTACACGTGTGACTATACAGACTCTATTTTGGAATGTGTCAATGATCTGTCAAACCCAAGAACATTTTTGAACATCTTGTGGATATAGTGGTATTCCTTTTGTTCTTTACCAATCCCTCTCCCATTACAGTCTCTGATTGTGACATTCATTTTTAAATGCATGAATTCATAACAGCTTCAAAAAGGAATGTTTTGAGGTTCTAAGAGCTTCTTTTTTCCAATAAGAATGTGGCAGAACTCTGAAGATGAACAAGCTCTACAGGAGAAAACTCATAATAAAAGCAAAGATAGTTGAGACTTTTCATTGCCTATTTATAGGCAGCTATCACATACTTGAGTAAAATTTGATAACAGAGCCAAAGGAAGAAGAAGCACAGTTGAAACACAACTTGAAAGAGCAGCTAGTCTTTTGGCACCTGGAGATCAATAAAATTGAAAGACAGTTAATGCAGACTGTATTTCCTTACGTTTACTTAGAAATCCAAGCATACATATATGTAGGAGAGAGTTTTCAAAGCCATAACCTTGGCAATATTGGTGTAAGAAAGTATTGAAGCTTCAAAATCAAAACCAGAGACCCCCTGATAATCTTACCTCCAATCTCAACTGCTAAAGTTCTTGAAACATTCTTGTGAGCAATTTTAAACAAAAGAACAAGAACTAAAAGAATCAGGCCACCCTACCACAATAAAAAATAACAATAATAAATTAAAAAACAAGGCAATTATTAAATTTACAATTAATTCTGATAACAGAAATATCACTTAAACTTTTATTCCCAAGAACACTGTAATATTCATTCTCTCTAACATCAGCCATACATTTTTCATGGGAGTTAAAAATTTAGGGTCCAGTCCAAGATTATCCTCAAGTTAATATACTTCATCCTTATCACTTATGATAAGCTCCTGGAATTCTACACTGTAATGATGCCATAGAGGTGGATTTGTAACAGGTGGCTTTTAGGAGCAAGAGAGTGAACAACTGCTCCTTTTATAGTATACTATATTTCCACTCCTTTGCCTTAATTTGACTAAGATAAGGAAAGGAAATTCCAGGGCCCAGTTGTTTGAAGGCTGATTAAGGTTACTCCAGGGTTAAATTTTAGTCCAGGTTTCTATATTCCTTTGATCACAAGACTTTAATGGGATAATTTTCTCTCATCTTTTTAAAACATGCAATCATCAAATTGTAGACAAAAAAATTAGACTGGATTTTGTTTTAAAGCTTTCAGATCTGAAATTAGATTTTACACTAACCCTGGGTTATCTTAACCCAACTTTGAGCAAACTGGTCCAGAGCAACAAATATATAATTATATGTTTAACACCCTCATAGTTCCAAAAGTGAAAGACAACAATTTCATTTGTTTAAGAGCTTCTTCCAATCAATACTCTTCATTACCTTGTGATCTGGTAAACCTAGCCAAGACAAGACTTGATAGTACCAATGAATCCACTGGCTTTTGTGATGACCCTCCGCTGATCACAAGTTAAGAAAACATCACTCCTGGATATTCTCAATTTTAAAAATACAGCTTCTTACTATGAAAGTACACCAACTCTGATAAAAAATTAACAGTATCTGAACAGTAACCTTCAGTTCAGATTTCCATCCAAAAGTTATAAATTATTGCAGAACAAGAAGAGGAATGTTTACTTATTAACTGACTTTGGTCAGGCCAGACACCAACTTTGTTACAGGTTTGGATGTCATAAACTTAAGCCAAATAGTTTCCCATCCAACCAAACCAAACTCAGTCAGTAAGTACTTTATCATATGACCTCTAAGTCTTGAAAATTTTGAAGTTATGTTTGAACCTAAATACTCCAAGATACAATCATAAATTTCATACAAAAGGGCTTGTGGAGGACAACTACAAAAAAATCCTACTAAGAAGAACTTTTACCCAACTTCTTTCAGTCAAAAAAGAAACTCACATTCCCTTGGAAAAGACAACTTGTTCTCTCAACTTGTTTTTTTTAATTCACGTTCCCTGAAAATGCTTATTGTTTACAAGAAAGTTATCTAAAAGGTGCAAATCTGTGACAGTAATTATTGTTCCAACAATTTTGTATTATGGTTGGCTAACCAATCTAAAAGACTTCTTCTGGCAATTTTTTTGGTAACATAGCCATGTAAGTGATGGGGATTACCTGCTTTTTCAGGACCAACTCATGTCAACCCATCAAAATATTGACTTGTAGAGTAAGGCTCCATGAGTCAACATTAAAGATAAACATCATTATTTAAAAATAGAGTTTTCTACATAAAAAGATACGATGGCTCAAACTTGGAGAATCGTTATCAAACAGTAGAAGACACAAAATTCCTAATAAAAACAGTAATGATCCTCTGACCTGAAAAACAATCAAAATAAAACAACAAGTTAAAAAAGTTCCCATGCAAGTTTTCCAAATGATTTTTTCATTATTTGTGTGACAGTCTGTCTGGCCATCAGCAGTTCTACTGATCTAATGGTTCATTCATTTGATGGTTCATTCATTTGATTGTTCATCCATTTATTCCTTTGCAAATTCTTTAAAATTAATAAAAATCTGACATCTCTTGATTCAAGGAATTCTTTAAGATATTACTGTTCCTCCAAAGAGCATCTTATCTACGCAAGTTTCTTCAAGATATTAAAACCAGTCATTAAAACACAGTCAATACCATTGGAGGATAGGTGTCCAACATAAAAAGAGAGGAGCTATTGAAATACAGATCTATTGAAATTACCTTTGATGGGCCAGTACCACCAGAATGAAAAAGAACTCCTAATGCTGCCAATACCACAGCATCACTATGTTCATAGAGTAAAACAGTTCTGTACAAAACAACCAGATCACAATGAGCTTACATTTAGTAACTACCTTAAAGATGTTCAATTCAAGTTATACCATTGTAAAAATCTCAGAAGAAAGCAGAATGGCGGAAAATATATAAACTGAACATGCACCTTGCATACTCTTGTGTACAAAACTGCATTTAGAATGATGAATATACATGTAGATCATAGCCTTCATTAACCCTCAGACCCCTGAGAATAACTAGGATCTAATTTATCCTAATAATAATACCCCTGAATCAAAGATTATGGTCTCAAGAATAATGGAAATGGTCATTAACTAGACAAATTCTTGATTGTCAAACAAACTCTACTTATCATTGCCTTAGAGAAATGTATAGAGAACAGTATAGAGAATATGCATACTGAATGGCTAAGAATATATGAAAGTCATATATTTGAACTGCGAATAAAGACATGAATGAAAGTGATCCTCACAGTAATGTAGACTACTTAAGCAACACTGAAAATAAGGCCTGAAAAAAAAATTCAGGCTTGTACACGATTTGAACCCATGACCTCTGCAATACCAGTGCAGCGCTCTACCAATTGAGCTAACAAGCCAACTGGGAGCTGGTCATTATGTTGGTTCCAAATAAACCCGTGAAGTGATCATCACTTGACAGGTTTATTTGGAACCAACATAGTGCACATTAATGTGAGGATCACTTTCATTCAAATATGAATACTGTTGACATTTGGGTGTTAAGAGTTAATCAAAACTATGAGTGTATAGTAGTTTGTGTGGTTTACTGCTTACCTTAAAGCACCACAAAGGGTAAGTCCTTCGAGCCATATCAGACCTATTATAGTTGATACTAAAGCATGTTTACCAATCTTGTACCACTGAAAAAAATATGGTATTTTTTTAATGAACTCTGGGAAGTTTCCATCAAAATTCCATCAAACTAAATCTCAGTGAAAAAAAAATTGTTCTTCTGTCATCAAGTAAGAAAAAGCATGTAACTGTACCTGATTGGAAGTAATTTTTTTTCCTGATGACACAGGTCTTTGTAATATAACGAGGACAACAGTAGTGCTAAAAAAGGACAGACAAAAATCCAGCAACTTCATTAGAATAACATCTGATGTAATAATAAAAAATGCAAGGGTATCCTTAAATAGTTACTGGTACTTACCAAAGCCTAACAACAAATAAGAATTGAACAACATGAATGACTTTCAGCTGCTCATATGTCACAAATAAACCAAATGTATGAAGAAATTTAGCAACCACCAGTGCGATTACATATGGTGTAGTCCTGTAAACAACAAGGTGAAAAAAACTACTTTAAAAGTCAATCTCAAAAACTGTAATTGATAATAATAGGCCTTAGGCTTGTGTGGGAATACCCAGTTTCACCCCCAAGCCTTACTTTCAAGGTGTGGACTGATTAATTTTAATTGAAAGTATGCGCAAAACACTGAAATGAAACAAATACCCACAAGAAAATAACAAGAAAGCAGTAATGATGCATGAAGATAAGGTTTTGGGAAGGTTTTCAGTGTACAACACCATCATGCATAGGATCTATTGATAATGATAATGATAACAATAGATATGGCTAACAAAGCTACAGTGCATCATACATCTAAAAGTACCATTTAAACATCCTGCTACCTTGATTGACTTATTGTTATTCTTATTCAGTTAATGCTTGGTGTGTTGTGCTCTTTTTGGACTTGCTCTTGTTAATTAAGTTCATTGGTCCAAATTTCAGAATAGTTTTAACCCTTTACACCCTATCATCAGTATGCAAACTCTCCATACTATGCTCTATACATTTCATAAGGTGCCAACAAGGAGAATTTTTTTAGAAATCAAGGGCTTCTTGAGTTGGTGATCATTTCCTTTATTCTCATAGCCTAAATGTGTGATTCAGAGATGATATTGTGAGGAGAAATTCGATGTTACTCACTCTTAGAGGTTAAAGATTTAAGTCAAAATAAACCAGGCATAAGAAGCAACATGGTAATATGTTGAGGTGACCATACAGTTTGAAAAAGAAAGAAAAAAAAGCTGTTACTGAAAGGAGAAATTTTTTAAGAGAACATTGAGTATTTCCTTTCTCTGTAAAAGACCTTGATGCACATAACATTCAGAGAATACTGTAAAATTATCTTTTGCTCATGCTTAGTTGACGAGATATAACACCCGTAACCAGTAAGACTAATTTTAACTTATTATATTTGATCAAAGCCTTCAAAACAATCAAAATGGGAAGTCTACAATATATCAGAACCAAAAAATTTCCAACGGCACCGCTATGGGTTTCTGCTTGATATTTTCTGAAAAAAATTAAACTCAGTCACTTAAAACTACCAATATACAATTCAAATCGAAACGAAAAAATGGCTTGATGCAGAGTTTAATTTTTGCGCAAAAATAGTTTTTTGGGTAGTTTGTGTCCATCTCTTTTGTGGAAATTAAAGTGAGTATTTACCTTTACACACACGTCGTGCATATTCAGTTCATTGAGATCAATTCGTTTTTCTGAATTTAAGGCCCTAGAATTACTCCCATATTTACATAAGTTTCTTTTAAAATATTTTGTATTGGATATTTTTTTTACAGGCGATTTAATTACCTTTTAAGAGAATTTGGTATAGAGAAACAGGTCAAACTATTAAACTTACACTGTGTATTGGCCAATCGGTCCTAGTTGACGCTTGTTAAAAAGCAAATGGTCAGAATACATCTCTACATCCTCCATTTTGAACGAAGCATGAGCTGGCAACACAAATGGCAACAGACGCTGACCTAATGCTGTCGCTCCCTGCCTCTACGTAGGTAGTCTATCCTCTACACCTTCATTATGCCGACAATAGGAATTTGTTTAACAATCAGGAGCTTCTTAAGTCGGTGATCATTTCCTATATTCTGATAACCTTACAATTGACTCACGTTAACAAGTCAAGTCACCCAAAAGTCACCCCTCCCCCCTCACATCTCGAAGTTATGTCACCCGATCTAAAGTTATGTCGACCAAACTAAAGTTCTATCGCCCAAGATTTTTAGTCATGTTGGCCGATGCCCGAAATCCGGAGTGATGTCGCTCGAGATCTTATGGTGAATTAAGAGAAGAAACAATTACAATTAGCTCTGTTAGCATCATTTCCGTTAGGCATAAATTATTGATCAAGCATTGGATGTTGTCCTTCAGTGGCATAGTGTTATAAAGTCAGTATGCTACAATAATTCAGTTTTCCGAGCTTTCGCCGATCTACGGCATCATCAGAGAATGTAGACGGAATCTTTGAAGTGGAGAGTATACTGCATTTACATACCTGCCATCGTTCTGTCCTATTGTCAGCTGAACCCCTATTATCTAGCCTAACACCTCGCCCAATATACTCTCCACTTCAAAGATTCCATCTACATTCCCTGATGATGCAGTAGATCGGCGAAAGCTTGGAGAACTTAATTATCGTAGTATACCTGGCCGCACTTGATTTACACGTCCGACTTTATAAATTATTGAGTTCCAAGGTTTAGTAACGTATGTAAATACACCAAAAGGGCTGTTCGATCAATTGGTACCTTCATCACTTTCTAGTGATATGCCATTTTTATGTTGCTTTCTAATAATGTGCCATTTTATGTTTTTATGTTTTATTTACACAGATATTTGTCGTCCAAAGACCACGTAAACTCATAGAGAGGTTATTTTACTGATATGCTCGCCTCTGATGAGCACAAATAAGCAGTTTGCTCATCAACAAACATTGTAGGCCTCTCATCCCTGCATTAAGAAGAACTGGAATGCGAATTACAAACCTGTCGGGTATGGCAATAAATGCTGAACTTGTACCGAGACTGGTACGTGGGGTCCTATGGCATTACTAGGGTGTGCATTCTGTGCCGCAGGTACACAGTTTCGTTGACCCGTGTAACAAATCTCGGTATTTGGCCATGTGTTGGGTACAGCGTTCATTGATAAAGGAGTTGGCCAGGTGTTGGAAACAGAGGGAGGTAGCCAATGCGCCATTCCTGACATAGGCCCCATAACATTGCCAGCATTAGGATTCTGCAATGCAGGTATACCGTTTGCTTGGCCCGTATAATCCATGATGGCATTTGGCCATGTGTTGGGTACAACGTTCATTGGTGAAGGAGATAGCCAGGTATTGGAAGTAGAGGGCAGAGGCCGTGGCGCAACTCCTGGCATAGACCTCAAAAGATTGCCAGCACTTGGATTCTGCACTGCAAGTACACCGTTTGCTTGGTCCATGTGACCCACGTTGGTAGTTGGCCATATGTTGGCTACAATGTTAATTGGTGTGAGAGTCTGCCAGTTGTTGAGGACAAGAGGCCGTTGGCATGGTGCTACTCCTAATGACGGCCCCAAAGAATAACCAGGATATGGAGACATCATGTTCATCGGCATCATAATCATCGACATTGTGTTCATTGGCCTCATGTTCATCGGTAAGGGTGCTGGCCAGTTACTGGAGGCAAGATACCATGCCCTAAGCGCCATCATGGGATTATAAACATTTGGAATTGGTATCGTAGGTACAACATTTCTTTGGTCCCTGTCGGTATTTGTCCATGTAGCATCTGGCAGAACATTTATCGGAGGGTAAGTTGACCGGGTGTTGGAGGCAGGAGACAGCACCTTTGGTGTTTCCATCCTAAAGTGTCTCCCTATAAAAAAATAAAACACTCTTTCTAGTTATTAATGGCAAAAAATCACGTAAGTTGCTTTGCTTTGCGTTTGGCTGTGCTCAATTTCCTTGCAGTCCGTTAAATCGTGTGTCATGGATTTTCGTTGCATGCTGTGCATATGTGTGATGTATTTTCATACCTTCGTATTCCGCTGTGAAATGAAACTAGAGAAACTGGAGAAGCTTTGCATTCCGCTGAGTTCGAATTTAGCTGTGTCCCTCCATTCGAGCTAAGCTGGAGAGCTTTTCTTTGCATTGCTCTGCATTTTGTTGCACCTGACATTTCTCCATTGCGTTGAACCACCAAGTTTTTAATTAAACTGCATTTTACTCTGGACCGGTAATCACATCGTATTGAGAGATAAGGAGCCATTTATACAATAAGATTCACTAGAACGAGAACATTAGTGTGTGTGATCTTAAGTTGCTACGATAAGTCTGTTCTCCGTACTTACCTGATGGGCTGGGATGGAACATCGGCGGGAGATGGCTAGGCAGGGGATGGCTCCAAGGAGGTGTCTCCACCCCAAGTATTTGCGGAGGACCACATGATCGCATCCGCCCTTGAACTGGTTCCTCGTCATAACTCTTCATCGTCGGACCTTTCCCTTTGGGTTGCACTTCTTTATTTGGTGAAACATTCTGTAGAGAAATTATGCCACAAGAAGCTCGTTAGGATAGAATCTCTCCTCAAAAACATCTAGAGTTCAAATTCTTAGATGGGATCGCGACGCTTATTTGTTGGAGACTTCTTTGAACTCAATCCTAATAAGGCAAATACTAAGCTCCGGGTAAAGATGATACTTTTCAAAGGAATTTGTTTTCTTTCATTTCAGAAAGAGATGGCCGGCTATAGGAAAAACGCTTCTTTATCATACCGGTCAAGCATCTCGTCTATCTATGTGGAACGTAGAAACAGACGTCTAATGGTGATTTGCCCGATACCCAAAAATATATTCCAAGGAAATTATATGCTTGAAGAACACTGTGAACAGGGATGAAAAAGATTCTGAGAATCTTTTCTCATTTCAGATGTCGGGGGTCATACACAGGGACAACTTGTGTTGAACTTGACACCTGTGAGAGTCTGAAGTTCTTCCAATGTTAATAAAAGATCTTGCGCGTGGGAGCAAATGGAGGAAACAAACATGCTGATACCCTTTCTTTTGACTTGAAAACCGTGCACCAGAGCCGTTGAGAACGGTTCTCAACCGTGCACCAGAGCCGTTGAGAACGGATCTGTCATAAATATTTTGCGCCGGCTCAATAGCTTAAAATAGGTACAAATGCCAGTGGTCTTGACTGAATTTTCTTTTATCTGCTACCCTAAACCATTTTTAAAACAGAGATTTGAAGTTTCTGCGCAGTCTCTCTTATTACCACGATCCCCTAAATCTTCTTTGAGAAACAACGGGGAAGACAATTTCCGCTCTTGCACTGGACCCGTTGACTTCTTACTACGCAAGGTGATTTCTGGAAAGATTACCCTCTGTCTCATCGCTCTGAGACAAAACCCGTCGCTCTGACGAAGGGTTAACGCTCGAAATGTCAGCTTTGAAACTGTTACGGTGGCCAATTTACGTTATCAATTCAGTTGATAAAATTAAATTACCCTGTTCTACTCCTCCAGCGACGCAGCACAACAGTTCCTTTAGAAACTTACTCCTTTACCCTCTGTCTCATTTTGAGAATGCTAACCAAGCTGGTGGGATGTCACTTTGGCTTTGTTTTACTACTCTATCTACTTGTTTCAGAAATCTTGCGCCACTTTCTTGACCAATCAGATTCAAAACTTAAACCAATCGCGAAGAGTTCAATCTCGTTTTCCCATGTGACAAGAGAAAGTGTTTACAGTGGCTATCTCACTGCTGGGGTCGCTGACGATTTTAGTGGCTTTTTTTCGCTTTTCGAAAACTCTGATAATGTTAAATTAGGATGTAGTACCTTCTCTACCCCGTCGCTTGAAGGATAATCTTCCATATCATGTTTTTCTAAAACGCGTTTCGCTATTTCACTAACAGTAAATGATGCCTGCCACACTGTGACAAAAGGCATATTCACAGATTGTGAGAAAGGTTTGAATATGTCTGAATCAATTGACGTCACAGAGGTTAGTCAAATAAACGCAAGTAATTGATGTTGCGCGCGCAGTTTTCTGATCGTTAGTGAAATAAGCTGAATTTTCGTCACTAAAACTGTTACAGAGGTCACCTAAACAAAATGAAATAATCACATGATAATGAACAATGACTCCAACTTCAGTCTATATTACGCACCTATTAAAAGCAGGCAGGGATAAAATCCCCTAAATTCACCTCTAACAAATAAAGAAGGGGGAAAGTTTCTCAACAAACTGTGGTATTGTGTCGGTGGGGTGGGGTGGGGGGGGGAGGGTACAACAAGACAGACACTTAGTTTTATCAACTGAGTTGATAATGTAAATTGGCCTCGGTAGAGTTTTTAGAGCTAATATTTCGAGCGTCAGCCCTTCGTCTGAGCGAATGGAAGAATTGTGGGTTGTGTGTGTTTTATATACAGAATATGGAGCTAAGCTCTTGCTAACAACGTGATAACGAGAAAAACAAAAATAAAAATACATTAGTTGAATAAAAGGCGTTCGTTGACACCGTGGGAATTAAGAGTGCCGATTTCACTGCTTATATGACTGCTTAGAATGATTTGGGAGATCAGCGACTAGTTTGCACTATAAATAGCCTATTTTCGAGTTCTCACAGGTCAAAGATCTGGTGCCGTAGAAAAAGCGCCAGAACGAGGCTAAGTGCGAACTCGACTTTCGACAGCACGAAAAATGTAAACCTAGGGTAATGAAATAGACCACATGGACAAGTTAAAATATTTGCAAAAGAGTCATAAATGGTGGTGGCAAAGGAAAGCGAAAAGCAGAACAAATCTTAGAAAGGTGCATGGATGAAGTAAAGAAAGCTAAACGATTCTGCCGAAGACCACAAAAAGCGCAAGTTGCCAGACCCTAAGACTTAAATTGCTTGGCATACAACCACTCTAATATTCTAGAGTTATTGTTCGACGTCCACCCATAGCCTTGCCTCGTT